AAGAGTATATGGTCGTGATGCAATATGCTAATAATGGCAGTCTTTCGTCCTATTTAGAAAAGAACATTAACACACGGACGTGGAAAATGAAATTGCAATGCTTGAAGGATATTGCACAGCGCCTGAACGATATGCATTCGATGCATTTAATACACTGTGATTTTCATGGCGGCACATAGTTTTAAACAGGAATGATTCTACGCAGACAAGTGAACTGTTCATATGCGATCTCAGACTTTCCAAACCGTTGGATTCATCCAAAACATGCAGGGTATGTTGTCTTACATTGCGCCAGAAGTCTTTCATACTAGCAAACTTACAAAGCAGTCAGACATATATGCTTTTGGTATTATCATACATCAGACCGCTAGTGGTGAGCCACCATTTAGAAACAGGAAATTTGACGAGCATTTGGCAAGAGATATATGTAATGGACTGCGACCTATGATGCCTGATACAGCGCCGGAAGCGTACAAGAAGCTGGCTGAGCGGTGTTGTGATCCGGATCCTGACAAACGCCCAGCTGCATGGGAACTTGCAGTGCAAAATAGTTAACCTTATCGCAGAAGTAGAGAAGGATGATAACGTGTGGAATACCATCTATTATAACAATAACTTAAGACCTTTATCACGCATCGAGAACGACAGGAAATATGCTAGTAGACTGTTGCCTACTGCTAATCTGCCCCAATTAGGAAACAGTTATGATATTGACGCAGTTGCAGGTAACGTAGATATCGAAGTGTGTGTTAATGGAGGTTCAATTCATGGAATACTAATTTATTATCTGGCGCCTTAGACTCTAAACAGTTTGATCTTGTAATCCCAAAAGTCATGACTCATGGTTCGTTTTATTTACATACACATATTTGTCTGATTAATTCGCAAGACGATGTAATTTATTAATTATTTCGATTCTCTAGATTTCGGAACAGACTAATATTGTTACTCCCATTTATAAGAAAGAATTACAATACCCTAATAGATAGATATCATTTATTTAAAGTCTCTCAAGGTCTGTCGCTTGTTGGAGCAGGGTTCATCTACGATGATAAAAATAATTAATAAAGAACGCGAAAAGTCATAACTCATTCCTATGTACTGATCCGCGCCCACACTTCTCTATCGTTCGCTTACCCTTCTCTTGCCACCAGTAAGAGTAACGTTAACAAATCTTCTGTTATAGACCGCACGCTTTTTAGCTCTTCCGGTTTTTTGTTTCTTTTTATCTTGTTTTTCAACCTTTGCAGTTTTGAGATTTTATTTTACCCGCACGGGCTAGAGAACCATGTACTTTACCCTGAAATTACGAGGAAAAATGGAACGCAATAAGATCAAGAAAAATGTCAGTAAAATGGGAACAGAGAAGAAGGTACCATTGCTTTGAGCTATTTTGCGATTCTAGGAAGAAATGATGGAGAAGTTTTGGGCATTAAAATATGTCTGCGGCTTGTGATTGTAGATCAAATGACGCCTGTAATCGACTTTTTACACTTCTATGGTTTCTTGCTATTCTTTTCTCTTGATAAGTATGCATAGCTCCCGTGCCAGTGTTTACGCTAAAATGTCGGGTATCGTCCAGTCTTAAGTTTCTTGATGCCTGTTACTTGGGTTTCCTACCTAGCTCATGCATCCAACACATTCTTTCTTGCTAGTTTTAACCGTAGAGTTATTTAAGTAACAACAAAGGCCAATTTAGTGGATGAGATATTTTTAGCTCTGCTCAAGATACGGTATCTTCATACTTGACAATTAGAGTCTAGTCACGTTGAGCTAATTCATATGATGCTCAAGTCTTATTATCTAGTAAAAGGAAATGTTCACATTGGAAAAGTGCAGACTCATAAATCACTTCTTTTTTCTTACTCTCCCCAAACGTACATTCTCACATTTTTTGTTATAATAAAACATTTGACTGTTCATAGACTGGTGTAAATTGGCAGTAGACAAAAAAGTAAATTTGGCGTATATTTCAAATGTATATAAGCTGACTTACTTCCGTTACAAGCGGTTGCGTGTTTAATATAATATTTATATAATAAAGGTAATAATTGCGATAAACATCGAAGTTGCCGCGTAATTTACTTTTACTACGCCAAGGTAATATGCAAAGCAGCAGCTCTAATAGTACTTGTACTCTAAAAATACGTAATCGTTAATTTATTGAACGATACAGTTGAAAGCTTTTAATTCTTATTATTTAAGAGTATTTGTCTCTTGCTCCACGATTATTTCCGTGACAGATATTTATTGCACTCTGCAATAATAAACTGTCAAAACTAATCTCATCGGTGACTATGGTCGAGGAGCGACGCGTTTATCTAGGATCGGTGTTTATTCGATTGACTATTAGAGTGTTGTAATGAGAATTCCTGAACCACCTAATCAAAAGAAAAATTACCGCGTAGAAGTAGTTGAAATAAAGGTTAAATTCCAAATGTCAATAGTTATCTCCTTTCCTTGATTGTTGGCACGACAAAAACAATATA